TGATGTTGCTGCTGCTGCTGCTGCTGCTGCTGCTGCTGCTGTGCTGCTGCGGCAGTGTGGGCACGTCTACACGCAAAGTGAGGGAGACAAGAGAAGACGGGGCAGCAGCAGCAGCAGCTTCTGCAGCAGCAGCTGCTGCTGCAGCAGCAGAAGGGCTTGCTAAGTAGTGCAGGTGCTGATGCACCAAAGGAGACAATGAGGAGACAGGTAGAGGCACTCCAGGCTGCAGCAGCAAACAAAAACAACAGCAGCAGCAGCAGCATTAGCAGTAGCAGTAGTAGTAGCAGCAGCAGCAGCACCAGCATGAGCATTAGCAGCAGCAGCAGCAACAACAACACGAGCAGCAGCATCCGCAGCAGCAGCAGCAGCAGCGGCAGCAGCAGCAGCAGCCTGTGCCTGACCCATTTAAAGACGTAAACGGTGTTGCCTTGGGCTGCAGCAAGCAGCAGCCGTTGCGTAATCCCCAGGGCCCCTCCCCTGCTGCTGCTGCTGCTGCTGCTGCTGCTAGCTGCTGCTGCCTCTTCTTGCTGCTGCTGCTGCTGCTGCTGCTCGTCCCAGTCTAAAAAGAGACACGTGGAATTGTCCACAGAGACACAAAGGCCAAAAGAAGAACCCGCAGAAGGAGACAGGCCAGCAGCAGACAAGAGGAACGAACGCAGTGAAGTCCTGAAACAACAGATGCAAACCCTAAACCCTAAACCCTAAACCCTAAATCGTAGACACGCGGCTGTGCAAATTCACGGGTGGCTCGAATGCATCGGCTTTGACTGGCGCAGCTCCTCGAAATTGCAGTTCACCATTTGGTCTTCATAGCGTACGCCTTAGGGTTTAGGGTTTAGGGTTTAGGGTTTAGGGTTTGCGCACCCCGGCGCGTCTCGTGGCACTCCAGCGACTCGCACTTCTCCTTGCTTGCAAATGTTAATTAACTTTTTGTCTTTTTGCAAATCCACAAATGTGGTGTTTTCCCTGAGTTGAGCTGTACATACACTCCAAATTCAAAAGACGCAAGCTGTGTAGCTCGCAGCAGCAGCAGCAGCAGCAGCAGCTGCTGCTGCTGCTGCAGGCCCGAAAGCAGCGGCGCAGCTCGCACGCAGACCCACAGCGACGGCAGCAGCAGGAACGCAAGCAGCAGAGAACTAGCAGCGGCAGCGGCAGCGCAGAAGCAGAAAAGCATGCGCAGCAGCAGCGGCAGCAGCAGCAGCAGCAGCAGACCTGCGTGTCTGAGCAGCAAGTGCGGGGGTAATCCGAACTCCGTCTCTGCAAACCCTTTTTGGCAAACCCGAAAGCTGAGAGCAGAAGAGACAACTTGGGCTTTTTCTCTTTTGCTGCTGCTGCTGCTGCTGCTGCTGCTGCTGCTCATTTCTTCTTTTTGAACTTTGTTTTGCTTTTTGTCTCTTTCGCAGCACAAACAAAACAGCAAAGTCCTGTCCAGCGACAGCAGCAAACTCTCCAAACCCGGGGCCCACGGCGCCTGAGCAGCGACAACTAGGGTTTAAGGTTTAGGGTTTAGGGTTTGGGGTTTAGGGGCTACGCAGAAGAGGAGCGGCAGCAGCAGCAACGAGACGCACAGAGCTCCAATCGCAGATTCGACACCAGCACGAGCAGCAACAGCGACGGCACCAACACAAACAGCAACAGCAGCAGCAGCAACAGCAGCAGCAGCAGCAACAGCAACAGCAGCAGCAGCAGCAACTGACCTTCACCAAAATGCCGTTTGCTGCTGCTTCTCCCATCTTTGTGTCTCCTGCTAGTCGCTCTCCGTCCACTGTGAAGGCAGCAACACCAGCAGCTGCTGTTGTGCCCTCTCCCGCTGCAGCAGCAGCAGCAGCAGTAGCAGCAGCAGCAGCAGCAGCAGCGGGGCCCGCAACCACCACCAAGAAGCAAGAAAGAAAAAGAGATAAAGGCATTTCAAAAGGGACCGCCAAAACTGTAGTCGAGTGCTGCGGGCTGAGGAGGAAAACCTCAACCTGCAAACAAACCCTAAACCCAAAACCCTAAACCCTAAACCCTAAACCCTAAATCCTAGACTCTAACCCCTAACATGTAAGAGGTAGGCGCCTAGCGGAACACAAATGAAAATGCTCTGAAACTGCTCTTGCAGCAAGCAGCAGCAGCAAAACCACCGGCAGCAGCAACGAGAACAGCAGCAGCTGCAGCAGCAGCTGCAGCAGCAGCAGCAGCAGCAGCGAACTCACGACAAGCGAGACATGAAGCTCCGAAAAGAAGAAGAGCAACGACAAATGCCACATAAACACCAAAACCAACAGCAACCGCAACAACAACTGCAGCAACAGCAGCAGCAGCAGCAGCAGCAGCAGCAGCAGCACTTACGTTAACAAGGGCCCCCGAAAGATCAAATGTGTCTCTTTCGTCGAATTGAAAAGAAAGAAGAAGCTCCGCAGCAACGCGGTCTTGCCACTCGCGCAGCGCGTCGCCCAGCATGTCCCTCTGCAAGCCCTAAACCCTAAACCCTAAACCCTAAACCCTAAACCCTAAACGCTGCGGCAGTGCGGTGGCCTGCGCCAAGTGCCTAGAAAGTGTCCGGAAAGGGCTCTCTGCACGAACTTGTCTTCCCGCAAGGGTTTCGGGTTCTGGCCCTAGGGCTTAGGGTTTAGGGTTTGGGGCTTAGGGTTTAGGGTTTAGGGTTTACGTTTGAGGGCTCTCTGTGGGCGAGGACCAGCTGGAGAGGGTTTAGGGCGAGCTCTCTGGCGGTGCAGCTCTCGTGGCTAGGGTTTAGGAAGCACTTTTGAACTAGGGTTTTCGAAAAGTCTTTTTCAAATTCATTTTCTTTTATTTCTTCTTCTTCTTTATTTGCTTCTTTCTTTTGCTGCCGCGCAGCTTCGCCTCGCCAGCTAATCCGCGCCAGCCGCCGCGTTTTGTTCTTCGCCGTTGCTGCTGCTGCTGCGCTGCTGCTGCTGCTGCTGCTGCTGC